CTTACGAAGTACGACATACTGATAGCGATGAGCAGTCGCTTGTGGGAATGGAAATGGGTCGATTCGGCCAGCAAAAGCCAGCAAACCAAAGTAGTCGCACAAGCATCTCAAGCGTATAATTTCGTAGTTTTATTATACCTCTTTAATATGAAACCAATTGTTCTTAATAGAAATTCCAAATTCCTGGAATCAATGGTTTCATAAGGTATCCATGGGTAGTCCCAGCACAGGAACCCCGCAAAAGGATGCATTGGTCAAGCAGCTATACTATACCCATGACAACTAGAGAGCTAGCATTTCTAACCCCGCGTTTCCTGATTCGAATAACAAAGTAGTGTACGCTAATGCCATAGGCTAAACAAAGGGTTGGCTGGGCTTGACCCTGCATCCTAGCAATGCTTGAAGACAGTTACATAAATTAGGCAAGAAAGGATCCTCCAGAAGCACATAACTAGTTTAAAACACATGGCTGATCCCAATTGCACACGGCTAAGTCACACTATCCTTTTGTGGATACCATGCCTAGTCATAATGCCACATCTCAAAACTCGCCATAGTCTTAACATTATCATGATATATAACAACCTTCTAACCAAGCTCTTAGTCTAATATCGATGTTAAACGCGTCTTTTAGCAAATAGTTAATACGACATGTTGAATACGTAAGTTTGATAGCAACTCCAACGAACTGCCGTAGGATAGTCATTAGTAGAATCAGCTATAAAAAGACACTTTATCAGTTCAATACCTATTGTGGACAGACTTGTTTTAAGACATCCGAATGCAGCCAAATAGTCATTAAAAGTTCTATTCATGTAATATCTTCTAAACTACAAATACAGGGTATCGTCTTCGTCGGTATATCTTCTCATACCAAAGGACCTAGTTCTTAAGCACATATCGGTACCTAGGGAGGCCCTTTTCGAAATCAACAATAACATCATTAGCCTCAGACATGGGCCTGACCTGGACCCAAGCCTTGAGGTTCGTCTTCTTCGCCAACTCCAACATATCGGCAATGTGCTGCCTGGTACCGATAAGAGAACCAGCAATCTTCAAGTTCTTGAAGATCAAACCCATGGGAGAGAAGCTGGGAAGTGGGTCGTCGGGAGCGCCGAGCTGAACAAAAGTACCGTTTACGTCAAGGAGGTTGAGGTACTGGTCGAGCGCGAATCCGCCAGAGATGGTGGAAATGATGATATCGAGGCCACCGGCGTTCTTGTTCATCCATTCAGGATCCTCGCCAGTAGCGATGAACCTATCAGCGCCGAGTTCCAGCGCGTCGGCCTTCTTGGAAGAGGAGCGGGAGATGGCAACGACTTCGTCGCAGCCAAGGGCCTTTGCGAAAAGAAGAGCGAAGTGACCGAGACCGCCGATACCGACAACACCGACGCGCTTTCCTGGGCCGGCACCATAGGTAACGAGGGGGTTGTAGACGGTTACACCACCGCACATGAGAGGAGCAGCGTACTCCGAAGGAAGACCCTCCGGAATAGGGATAGCGAAAGAAGCCGGTCCACGCCATTTCTTTGCGTAACCTCCTTGGGCCTTGTCACCGGTCTTGTACTTTGCGTTGTAGGTCATGACAAAGTTGTTGCAGTTGGACTCTTGCTTGGCCTTGCAAGGCCTGCAGCTCTCACAGCAGTCAGACTGCGCGCCAACACCAACGCGGTCGCCGACCTTGAGGTCCTTGACGGAGTCTCCGACACGAGTAACCTTGCCAATGATCTCGTGACCAACGACAAGAGGGTAGTCTGAGGGGCCCCAGCCGGAGCGGAGGGTGTGGATATCGGAGCCGCAGACACCGCAGTGGCTGATTTCCATCTCAATATCTGTGGACTCGAAGTTCTTGGGGGCGTAGTCGCCCCATTTCATGTTGCCGTCGGCAGCGGAGGGGTCGTGGGCTACCCAGCCCTGGAAGTCAGATGATGAGGACATCTTTCTCGTTCGCTTTAGTATTGAAAATGGAATTACACAAAGGAGGTTGAGAAATAGTGTTGTAGTTATGTGAGATGAGATTTGTTGGCTGAATTGGTGATTATACAAGCTATACAGCTCAAGTTTTATACTCTCGTTTCCCTCGCCCTTCTAGAAAATTTCCTGGACATTTGTAATACACCAAAAGACGGTCTGGTGTATGAGGTATGTCAGTATGGATACCCCGGTGTTTTGCCCTTTCGCCGATCTACGCCGTTAGCACCGGGCCCACTTTTATCACGTTTTTGAGCCTCAAAGTGGGTCGTGCACTTCTATCACCGTTAACCCCGGCCCAGTAGGTCCGAAAAAGGTTTACACCTGCGGCGACAAGACTGCAAAAATCTCGGACATGGCTCGCAGTGAAGACGTCAACGTATCGCCCCCCTGTTCTGAGACGATGTTCGATCTGCCGGCGCAACGTGACAACCCGCAACAAGGAATGATGCCTATGCAGCCCTCGATTAGCTGCCGTTGACGTTTCGTCATTCTAGATCGGCTGAGAGGTCTACTTGCTGATTTGTCATCTACGGCATTATTACTACGGATATATTGCAAGTTATGGATCTGTATCCATCGAGGAGAATATGCTCGGCCGACGTCAGACCTGCTTTTAAGACGCGGGGTGTCCTAATCATAGGTTAGCCGCAAAATTCTCCGCTCGTACATACAATCGGGGTTAAGCGAACACATCTCCTTACTTCACCACTTGCTGTATAGTACATTCTTATCAAGCGTTTCTACTATGTCTTCATATTCTTTTACTCCCCGTTTCCAGTATCCTTCTCACTTGCAAGAAGGAAATCAATCAAATTTCCTCACATTGATAGCTACTCTGGGTCTTTTCTTAAGAGCATATGACGAGCTGGAGAAAATGCCGAATTTTACATCAGGGGATAGTAACGATGAGCATACGTTTTACACTTAAGCAAGAACAAAAATTTTATTCGATTGAAACCCGTTATATCGCCTTGGCACAAAACCCGATCGAGCGCGATGGAACATTCGGTGGAGAAAGCTGATAGCTTTTTCTTCTTCTCATTCTGGCATTTTACATCGAGAAATTGCGTATTGTAAATGTCCTCAACACTAAACAACAGGTTGGCATCGTATTAAGTGTTCATTTCTAGAGAGTTCTTGAGTATGGACACTCAAGAGCTGAGGTTTTTGTCGCAGCAAAACATGACCAAGATAGCAAATTCCTAACCAATGCATTGACCCTTTCCATGTTGGGATCTACTATCTCATCTATTCGCTAGTCTTCAATCGCAATAGCTTCATATTCTAGTTCAGTTGACGTTTTCATAAGAAGAAGTCCCTCACCATGCGTAGTCACTTAGACGATACTCTCAATCTATTGCCACGCTCGCGATTTTCCAAGATAGAAAATCTTCACAAAAGGTTCTTCTGTGATTGGATGTGGAATGCTGTTTACGCAGCTTTTCTATAAGCAACGCCCTCAACAAAGGACACAGGGGATCACAGCGAGCATAAGACGCGAACCCGATTTACTTACTAAACCAGTCAGCGTTGCAATCTCTTCAGATCCTCGCTCCCGCATCGCCATCGTCACATGCCAGCAGCATTCATCATAGCGCATGAGCAAAATCAATCGGGCCGGTCAGAAAAAACTGGTAGCAAGCATCCCTACCAGGCTCTGACCGAGAAAAAAACATCTGTCTCGTACCCGGTCTGATGCGCTAACGAGCCGTCCCGCCCAACTTTCTTCTTCGGACTCCTGCCTTGTAAACTGACGCTAGTCTCAACATCTAGGCCCTTTGTGTAACCCGAATAGGAGAGCCCTTGACCAAGGAACGCAGGGATGCTGACGTAGCGTCCGATTCGATGCTTTGCTCGCTGCAGGTTATTAGAGGCGCAGGGAGCGTGCAGAGGTATGGTCGCCGAAGTGAAGAGAAACAGAGCGTTTGGTCTAGCAATTCCGGCCCGTAAGGCCGATTGTGTATCGACTACATCTCCAGTTTCGATGGGTATTCCAAGGGATGATCGACATGGGGTTTGTTGCGGACAGAGATGCTACCATGACAAAACTGATGTGTACTGATTGCGGAAGATGGTCAAAGGGATACCAAGTTAGCTTGAACAGGAAGAGAGAAGATGGTGGTGTACATGGAACAGTTTTACCATTGCAATGCGAAATAAACTCAAAGTGTCAGGATATTGGTAAGCATGCATAGAGATACTATACATCACAACAATCCCAGAAAACAGATATACACTGCACAAAAGCTAATCTATCTTTTGTACTAATAGTTCTCATGCTTTCTTTACTAAAGATTATAATCGCAAAAGCTTCCCGTTTCTGCACCTATTGCCCGCCCACCCGTCTCTCGTGTCACAGTCCACTGGTGATTACGAAAATCCAGTACTGCAAGACCAACAACCCAGTCTTATGCACCGTGCCACACCCAGGATTTACCGATTGTTTCATTAATTGGGCAGTCCTGATGAACTAGGCGAGTAGGGTCATCCTAGTCTGAACGAACTGCCGCGCAGTCCCTTGCAATTTGAGGTGAAGGGAAATAGGCAGCCACCCAAGGTAAAGCTTTCGTTCTTATAATTCCGTGGATGATTGCTAAGTGCTATTATTCATGTAGATGTGTAAGAGGCGTAACACCACATGCCCGCAGTCAATCTGATTGGTATGTATGTGTTGTGGCTGGCTGTTCAGACGCATGCGGAAGAGTATTTTCTTTGTCGGCTAGGGCGCCTTGCTGATGGCTTAGGACTGGGTAAATAGTATTGTAATTGGTCCATATGTAATGGCGTATCACTACCGTTGAGCCCCTGCAGGCCTAGTTTTCGTATCTCCGGCTCTTGGTGCTATCTGCTACGATTTGCTGCTCCGATTAGAATGAAAAACTGGGTTGTCACTGCTCTCTCTACCTCTCGCTTTGGATGTGTAATGGGCAAAAGGAATATCATCATATAGTATTCCTTGGACACATACGAGACCAGAAAAACCAGCAATCTTGCATGGCGTACAATCAATCCACCCACGGCCATGTGCCTTCTTGGTCACCAGACAAAATGAGAAGCCAAAACAACACGTTCTACCAACTCTCAACCGTATCAAGTTTGGCAGAAAGCCCATTACAAATGGCCGTCATATCTGAGCTCCAGGGAGAAACTCAACGCTGGGACTCACAGACATGCGTATATGCAACTCCTAGTCACGAAACCTACACTCCCAACAACAGCTTCCAGCAGCCCATACCAGAACAGAATATACCCAACAGCACTGCCTTCCCGAGTGCCACTTGTACAACTCCCAGATTTCAATACACCCCTACAGCAAACTCTCCATCAACACAAGCACACATCCCCTACTACCAGTACGTACACCCCACACCACCACCCTCACCACATGCTAACCATCTCCCAGACTCTCCTCCGCCTACCCAGTCGCTACCCACCACCCACCCCCCTCCCTCACTTCCACTCCCCCAACCTCACCGTACCAACAACCCACTCTCGCCTCCACCTCCTCCACCGACAACACAATACCCTGCCCCTACCACTGCGGCACAATCCTAACCGGTGCCCATGCCCTGGGTAATCTGACCCGCCATTTGAAAACGCAAGCGTGTACGGGGCCGGGGAGGGGAAAGGGGAGGTACAAGTGTGCGAATGAGGGGTGTGAGAGGGTTTATGCGCGATCGGACGGGTTGAGGGTGCATGTTAGGAGGGTACATGGGGGGTGCTGAAAGGGATGGGAAAGGGGATGAAGGAGAGGGAGAGGGGGGAAGGAGAGAAAGGAGAGTGAATCTGGCGGAGAGTTTGGGGAAGGAAGCGAGGGAGGTTTTTTTTGGTAGGGTTGGGGGAACTGGTTGTATTTGGGCGAAGGAAAGAGGAAAAAAAAAAGGAGGGGAGTCGGGGGTTGTGGCATTTCATACACTTTTAGTTGTTTTCCGAGTGTCAGCACGTGGACTTTTTTTTGGAACTCCTTATTTCATTCTCACTGAAACGAATCACAAAAGTTTCTTTACTAGCAATATGGTAGTTCGCACTTAAAACATCAGAACATCGATTCTTTCGCGAATGCGTCTTACTATTCTAGTAGTGTCTTCTTTTTTCCGACCTCAAGATCTGATTGATGCATTGGCACATGTATGATGGCCCCCTTAAAACGCCCACTGATATGAGAAAAACAAAAAAACACAAGGCGACTTGCGGCTGCGACTGCTGCCGTGGCAAATGGTATCGCGATAAATGCCCGAGAGATTCAAAAGCTAAAAGGATCCAGATGCATGTCTGTGGTGAAAACAAAGGATATAGAAACTGCGAAACAAGGAAACAAGGGAAAAAGAATAACTGATGCGGTATCGAGCGAGCTGTCATGAGTTATGAAAATATACACAAAGGAAAAGGGGTGAGCGGCTTCAGAGGCTAGTGATTCGGCCTCCAGGAGGTGCAGATGCACGATGCGGTCGCAGGTTAATCACGGACTCCAGTTCTCTCAGCATGCTGGTGTTTGCGTCTCGTTGCTCACGAAGCGTAGCTTGACGAATGCGATCATCCTGGATCTTTTGTATCCGTTCCTCTCTCGACATAGTAACGCGTGTCTTGGGAATTGCAATCGCTTCGAATACTTCATCGTCAGAGTTACTGCCTTGGTCGCTGGACGGGGCGCTCTCCTGAGGACTCAAAGTTTCGCCGTTAAGAGCGCGCAGAGCGTCAGATGGGCTTCCTTCGTCAACAGCAGTCAATCCACCTAGGCTTGGAACTGGCGAGCGCAGACCGCTGCTTGATGCTTGTGAGATTCGGCGCTCCTGTCGATCAATGTTCAATGCAAGCGCATTCTTTCCTGCTTCCCAAGCCTGCACCAAACTCTTGAGATCGGCTCCAATGGATTCGTATTGCACCATAAGAGAATGACCCAGATCACTGACATCTTCCATATCTTCTAAGCTCTTGTTCGTCTCTTCCCGCAATACCTGCATCTTTGCCTGCAAACCCCGGATTCCGCTCGAAAGTCCCGACAATTTACGCACTGAGTTTCGAATCTTTTCCCGCCCGGGCGTGGGCGCTACCTTGGCCGGCGATGGGAAAACAAACTGCTCTTCTTCCGATAGTACGCGGTTGAACTTTTCGCTCCATTGACCGATAGGACGGGCCGTGTTTAGGATAGAGTCGACTACGGTTGACCATCGTGGGAAATCCAGCGTTCCACCATCAGCCTCCATGGCAAGGAGAGAGCACAGGTACACACGGCGAAGAATTGACAAGCGATATTGGAGAGTTCGAAGTGCTTTCAAGCTTTCGGCGTCTTCGAACTCGGACGGAGTGTAACTAAGACCCGCCTCTTGCAGGTCTGGATTGCTGATTTCGTAAACGTCAAAGTACTTTTCCAAGTCGTCTTCCTGAATCAGTGGCTTCAAAACTCCACACTGCTCGGAGAGGAAGGGGACAATGTCGGCGTATGCTGCGCGGAGATTGCGACGAAGACGTTGGCAACGGCGGGCTTGACCCTTTTCCTCGATGCGCGAGATGGGGGGTAGCGGACTGCTTCTAGAGGGGACCAGTGAGTGGGGATAGGGAAAACCGGTTGGAAATGAGAAGGACCTACAATCTGTAGCCACGAGATATGAGCTCTACCTCTTGGATCAAAGCAAGCGCAGACGATGTAGCGGCTTCAAAGGCTTGCAGGTTGGCGACCAAGGCGGCTGCGCCATCGACAGCCTCCTGTCTCAGGTACCGGAGCCATTGACGTCGCATGTAGCCATAGACGGCGGATGCAGCGGCTGCGAAGACCAGAACCACAAACGCCGTCCTGCCCAGGCTGAAGGTCGGCTGGCGGCGAGACCAGTGGACTAGCCATACCAAGGCAAATGCCGTTGTGCCTGTCAGGGCGGCGCCGGTAGGGCTTATCGTGGCGACTTTGAACTCGTGCGAGCCGGAGCGTCCGCCTGCCGCAAAGGCGGGTATCGATGATGCGCGCAGGCCGTCTTTCTCGCCAAGAAGCTGCGAGGCGACGATGAGGTAGCGGAAATGTTCGAGGAAGCGCTCGTTGTCTGCACGCCCCAATCGCGAATTGACAGCCTTCTGCAGTTGGGTCAGTACGTCTTGACTTAGAAAGTGCCAAGCCCGATGAACATACCGAACAGGCCAAGTGAATACGGGAAATGGAGTCATTGCGCGCATGTATGCGCAACGGCTGTGGGAGGCGGTCTCTTATTCTCGATTGCAGCGTAGAGGGTCCTTTGGGCGCAAAGCCCTGAAAGTCGACGTCGGTATCGGCGTGTCGAAGGATAGGAGGGCGTAGGGTATCGTCGTCATCTTCGCCGCCTTTGCCTTGGCCTAGTGCGGCGGTTAGTAGCTGGGGATGCATCGCTGTCATAACCATCATCATCATGGTGGCGGTTGCTGTGGGGGGAGGGGAGGCGCACCTTGGAGCAAGTGGGCGAGGGGTGAGTCGTCAGGTATAATGTTCTCCATGGTGGCAGCGCTACCGCATGATGGGGGAGTGGACGTCGGGTGGTCTTTGGGGCGGCGCGTGAGCTGGTGGTGGTGGTGGTATTGCGGTGGCTCTAACCCGGGGTGGGCAGGTGATATGGATATAGCTGGGACGGCTGGTGCGGGTGCGGGCGCGGGCGCAGGCGAGGGCGCTGGCAAGGGCGCGTGGTCTGGTGCGTGGGATCCAATCGTGGCAGCTGTCACTTTGTCCGTCTGATGGCAGGGGGGACATTGGGGGACTGGTGCGGACAAGAAAAGGGAGCAGGTAGAAAGGAGAGGTAGCTGGAGTAGTCCGCGCGCGCACACACACACACACATCCACACATCCACAGCCACACTCTCTTACACTGGCTCTACCATTCGGTCGAGGGAAATGAAGCAGCTTGCGGAGACGGGCCCCCTGTGATTGGCGACTAACCGGCTGACAGCCCGCTCGACCGTTCACGGGGCGGTTTCGTTTCCCTCTAGCCGTCTCCGCCGTGCTTTTCATGTGACACCCTGGTCTACAATCCATTCATGCGGGTATCTAGGCGCGCGTTACGGAGGAGCGCGTCAAAAGTCTTCGCGACAGGGGTAGGCAGCGCACTGACGCACCGCAGGTCTTGGCATTTGGTGTTTCGACGTGGCCTTCCTGGAGCCCCTCATATTCATTGTTTTTCAGTGATTCTCAATCAGATTAGCTCAATATGGCTCCTAATCATGATATCGCTACTCGTGCACTTGTTGTTACTCTTAAATCCGTTGCAGGAAAGTCAAATAGTGAGGTCTGTTACCTTACAGGCCTTCCTGAGTCTACTATTCGAAGTATATATGCCAAAGCTATCAAGAGAGGATTTGAATACAACGCCTCACAACCTATTACTATCTGCAACGCTCACCTTGAAGATGCTCCTCGCTCGGGACGCCCTACTAAAGAAACCGAGGCTGTACGTCAATCTATTACCCAGAAACTCGTACGCGATCGATATGGAAGAGAGAAGAGCTGTGCTGATCTCGCTGGCGAACTTAGTCAAGAGGGAGTCAATATCTCTGCTACAACAGTGCGCCGGATACTCAAGAAGGCAGGCTACAAGAAGACGAAGCCGACGAGGAAGCCTGGGTTGACCAAGAAGATGAGGGAGGAGAGACTAGCCTGGTGCAAGGAGCGAGAGAAGTGGACTCTTAAGGATTGGAAGAATGTTATATGGACAGATGAGACCTCTATAGTCCTTAATCACCGCCGTGGAGGCTATCGGATCTGGAGGAAATCTGATGAAGCTTTTCTGCGCAGTACTATACGTGAGAGGTGGAAAGGCTACTCTGAGTTCATGTTCTAGGGGAGCTTCTCATATGACAAGAAAGGTCCTTGCCACTGTTGGCAACCTGAATCAAGAAAGCAGAAGGAAGAAGCTCGTAAGGCTATTGAGGCTCTTAACCAAGAGCTTGAAGCTGAGGCTAGAGCTGAGTGGGAACTGAATACTAGAGTTAGAAGGCTAGGCCTACATACGAAGCCTGGCAAGAAGCCAACTTGGAAATTTACTGCAGATACAGGTAAGCTTACTCGTGGTAAAGGAAATAGTATTAATTGGTGGAGATATCGCGCTGAAATATTAATACCTAAGCTTCTGCCTTTTGCTCAAGAGTGTAAGAAAGAGAGGCTATATACTCTCGTTCAAGAAGATAAAGCTCCTTCTCATGCGCATCACTCACAACAGAAGGTCTTTAATATATTTAAGGTAGCTAGGCTACTCTGGTGCGGTAATTCACCTAATCTTAATGCAATAGAGTGCTGCTGGCCATATATGAAGAGGCTTACTACGAAAAAGGGAGCTCCAAGGAGTAAGGTTGAAGCTATCAGAGCCTAGACGAAAGCTTGGGACGAGCTACCTCAGTGGAAGATTCAAGAGTGGATTAAAAGAATACCAATTCATATTCAAAATATCATTAGATTAGAAGGTGGCAATGAATATAAAGAGGGTAGGAGAACAGGAAAGGGCACTAAGAGGGAGGCTACAGCTGTAAAGGCTATCAAAATTAATGTAGATAATGAGTGGGAGGATATCAGTGAATAAGCTGTCAAAACAGCAAATGCCAAGACCTGCGGTGCGTCAGTGCGCTGCCTACCCCTGTCGCGAAGACTTTTGACGCGCTCCTCCGTACCCTGAGGCTCAGACTGCCTGGCCCCTCCCCCCCTAGGCCCTCCTATGTCCCCGACTCGAGTAAGCGTTGAGGCCACAAGCTTCTCGTTTTGGATGCAAACCAATAATTCACCTTCCTACGCCTCATTTCGCCCTTTATGCCGCTTGCCGGCCCTACCAACGCTGCGACCACGCGTCCCTTTCGGATAGCCTGAGATGCACCCCCGATGAGTACGACAGTCCGGCCCCGCACGTACGCGACTCGCATTCCCGGAGAGTAGATAAACGCTTTCTTTTCCCCTTGGTCGGCTGGCGTATGTACTCGCTGCGTGCAGTCGTGGTTGCGTGCGAAATGACGCGTATGCATGCAAGCTCGCCTGTGCTCAATCGATAACACAATCGATAAGATAGGGCTGCATGCTGTATGCAGGTACTGAGCTGTGCTGTGCTGTGCTGTCCCTAGACTACGCTGCCACCACCTTGCCTTGCCATGACTGAACTACAACCCTCAAGTCTCACCTTGGCCAAGCACCTATGACAAGCAAGACACATGTTGCATCATAGTCTTCGATCTCATTCCTGAAGATTCCGGACAACCTGCCTTATCCCCTAGTTACCATCGATATGGCTGACACATCGACATCCGACTATTTCCACAAGGCGACAACTATGAGCCCCGGTAACATGTCCAATTCTGCAAGCTGAACACCGGTTTTGCTCACAAGATCTCTGCAAGATGTGGCCAACCCAAGTGTGGAATATGCTTCCTCTGAGTCGTCTTGTCCTCTTCTTGCAGCATATATCAGTTCCAGGTTTCTTTTGGCACTTTATTTCCTTACAAATCTACTCTCCTGTATTGTGTACAAAATTGCCGAGGATTTCTTTTTGGTGACAAACCCACCTTCTACGTAGTCGTCGTTATGGACAGCCAAATGCTCCACATGCTCATGGCCACTGTCGAGCTAGTGAATGCAAACCTTGACACTGCGCCTAATTCCTGGCGAGATCAACTGCCCGCCATCCGAAACATCACCACCTCGTTTGAGATTTCTGATACAGCTCCCGAGCAATCTCGCAGATGTTGGCAAATACCCTTGATCACTGTCGTCCAGCGGGTAGCATTCGCGGATGCGGACAACGGCCCTATTCCGGACATAGCGGACTGGTGTTTACGGCAATTGCTGACTTTGCTGGCATTATATCCTCAAGACCCTGATATTTTGGCTTGTAAGCTCAACTCTTGGTTTCTTGTACCTTGGCTGACAGTCACGGTGATCGGTCGGTATTGGCTGTTACGAGCGCAAAAAGCACTGGCAAGCATCGCCCGAACGGAAAGTGAGCTTCACTGCAACGAAGAAAGCACGCCCTATCCAGCCCAATTTACAACGCGACCTCTAGTTGAGACTCAAGAGAGTACAAACGGTGCAGATTATGTTGAGGCACGGGCATTACTGGTACCAGCAACCGACTACCTCCAATCTGCCGTTGATGCAGCAAGAGAAAAAGGAGAACTGACTGGGCATTTGCTTTTGACGGCAAGTACCCTTCCCTCCACTGAGCTTTCCCAACGCTAACTATGCAAAGGCCACTGAGGCATTCATGAGCATTGGCAACGTAACGTCGCCCAAGGTCAATCATGTTTATTTTCGGCAGGCCATGGTTTACCTCCGAACAGCAAAGGGGCTCAACAACTATTTGCTACCCTTACATATGTACCAGTAGTTACATGTATTCTGTGGTATTGAAAAAGGCTAACTGCACAAGGTATCTTGACGATTATGGTTTTCTTTACGACGGTGCTTGAAGTCGGAACGGCGTAATGGAGGCGGTATGCGTGTGGAGACCACAAAAGTTTCGTGTCAATCTTGCTGGATAATGTCTACGAAAATAGAGAGTCTATCGTTAATCATGTACGATTGCACCGCACAGTGTTGAAGTGGAGTGCTGTGAAGTCATCCCTACGGTCAAGGGTCCCTGCACAGACCAAGACGGCAAATTGTGGAGCACCGGCGTTACCAGCACTCGACTCCGGCAACCCACCCTCTATCCCACCACAACGGCCATAGCATCGGAGTGGGAACAGGAATCCGTCGTTTGGGGGCACACAATAAATCTGTAACACTCGATTTCCGCCGCATCTGAGCCCAAGCTCAAACCCTTTCTTCGGCCGAAGCGCGCATACGGCCGAACATACCACCATCTCGTCCGTGAGCGTCCGTGAGATTACAAGCATACCTTTGTCCTTCTGCGACACCACCCCAGTCGCATTGTCTGTCATGGCTGCATCGGCGCTGAACGAGGAGCGAGAGCTTGCCATCAACCCAATCGTTGCAAGCAGCGTACAGCACAATACCCAGGTACGCTTATCAATCACCGTGTCATTGCCGTTGCCTGGCATACGGCACAGCCTATCCTGCTGCGCCTCTGCCCTGCACGATACAGTCACAGACTTACTCTCGCCACAGGTCATCTCCAACATACGAAGTCTGACCGCATCGCTCTTCGGCGTCGCCGCTGGCACACTAGGCCTCGAATCTTACGCTGGCTTCATCTTCTACCTACTGGCATCGCTAGTCGTCTCGGCGCTGTTGTTTGCGTTGAAGACAGAGGGTAAGCCTAGCGCATACTTTTATAGTCCACTGGGAGATTTGTGGTTGGGAGATGTGTTTGGGGGGTTGAGCGGCTTTGTGCTGACTTGGACACTGTTCTATGGTCTGGTGCGGGCGTAGAATTTTGGGATGGATGCAGGAATGTATGCAAGAAGTTGAAGAAAAGATACTCGGTTGCGACGATGCAAAAAGGTGGAACGTCGCTTAAGATAACTTGTTCGGTCCAGGAAGATGCTCAAGTGAGATGGAGGTCAACTATGTCCAAGTTGGAAACTCGTCTGGGTGGGAGAGAACAGAGCTGTCTTCGAGGACAAAAGGCCTCACGAACCTCTTTGAGAGACGCATTCCTGTAGTAGGATATGCTTCATGATATCAGCTGCCGCATTTTGCCCTTCTTTAGCATGATACCCCGTCCAATCAAGCATTCGGACTCTTCGTCTCAAGCGTGACCAGTTCGTGTTTGTGAAGTTATAGAATGTGGTTTGCAACAAATTTGCGCACAGAGATGACCGACTCAAGAATAATTTGGAACAGCGTCTCCCACAACAAAGATGACGAACATCCATGGCGCCTTGAATCCAAACATTGTCCTGACAGCTGCCACGTTTGTTCATCGCGTGCGTAGTACTCTTGGCAGCTCTTTAACATGCGGTGATCTGTGCATATTTTAGCGTGTGTTTGACGCGCTCCCGCGTTGAGATCCCCTCCATCCATTGTTGCCTTTCTACAACAGAACGCACTTGTCTTCTTGCACGACGTTCACGATACCCTTCAGCACTACCTTCTCACATAATCATATCCCAAATCCAAGAGCAAGTCTCTCTCACCATGACAACTGAGCGGAGCTAACAATTTGCAGTGCTTGAGGCACGCTTAGAACAGGCAAACACCTTGAAGAAGGTACACTTCCTCAGTCAAAAAAGTCAAGAGCCCTTCTAACCGCGTACTAGGTTGTCGATGCTATCAAGGACCTTGTTCAAGACTGCAACTTCGACTGCAATGACATGGGCATTGCACTCCAAGCCATGGACAACTCGCACGTCGCCCTCGTGTCCATGATGCTCAAGTCGGACGCCTTTTCGCCCTTCCGCTGCGACCGTAACATTGCCCTTGGTATCAACCTGGGCTCGCTCACAAAGGTGCTCCGCGCTGCTGGAAACGAAGACATCCTCACCATCAAGGCTGAGGATGCTCCCGACGTTGTCAACCTTGTCTTTGAGACAAAGACCAGCTCGCGAATTAGCGAGTACGATATCAAGCTCATGGACATTGACCAGGAGCACCTTGGTATCCCCGACACAGATTATGCTGCGACCATATCAATGCCCTCAGCCGAGTTCCAGCGCATTTGCAGAGATTTGGGTGCATTGTCAGAGTCAGGTACGTCCTACGTGACTCATGACGACATGTGTAAATACTGTTCGCAGAGCTAACGTGGACTTAGTCTCAATTGAGTGCTCAAAAGACGGTGTCAAGTTTGCCTGCTCTGGTGACATTGGCTCGGGCTCTGTCATCCTCAAGCAAAATCCCAGCTTAGACAAGCCAGGCGAGTCTGTCACGATTGACATGACCGAGCCTGTCGCCCTTACTTTCTCGCTCAAGTACTTAACCAACTTCTGCAAGGCTAGTGGCCTGTCGGATCAGGTCAAGCTCTGCCTGTCCAGCGAAGTCCCTCTGCTTGTCGAGTATGGACTACAAGAGCAAAGCTACCTCAGGTTTTACCTTGCACCCAAGGTAAGAGAAATTCTTTCCATGCTATACAAATATGATGCTAACGCGCACAGATTGGTGACGAGGACTAAACGAACAACGATTTTATTGACACACGAGCGGCATGTTTTCAGAATAGATGTAGGGAATGAGTGGCGCAATGGCTTTGATGTGCGTCGAGCGTCTAGTAGCTTCATGATTATGGCATGCGACACCGGCGTGAATGGGCATCTGCAAGCGGTGTTCTGCGCTTTGGAAACTAAGGGAAGGTTACCGCCCCACCATGCGAGTCGCGTCATACCCGCGGAATTTCAGATACGGAAATCGATAGTACATGAACAAATACCCCACCTGCGCATACGTCCTCTTGCCCTGACTACTTGCAACTGTTACTTGTGAAAATGGCTTCTGACACTCTGATTCCGGATACACGAGTTCTCGCAATCGCCAGCCATGTAAGAGGAATGGGCGAAAAGCTATGGAGCTTGTAGCTAACATGCGACAGGTAGTCCACGGGTGAGTTGCATGTCGCGACGGATTGCGCATTCGACTGACTGCAAGCTAAGCTATGTGGGCAACAAGATGGCGACCTTTGTCATGCAGTCACTAGGGTGCGACGTTTCTGCGATCAATACCGTACACTACAGTATGTGTCAGTCGTTGGTATCTTGGGTACAAACTGACTAACGAGCAGGTAATCACACGGCGTATAAGCAGATTAAAGGCACGAAAACGTCGGCAGGCGAGATTCTCGAGCTTTACGAAGGCCTCCGCCAATCCAACCTCAACAACTTCGACGTGCTCCTAACAGGATATATGCCCAGCGCCGAAGCTGTACAAGCGATAGGAACGATTGGAAGGGATATCAAGTTCAATGCGGGTACAAAGCCTGGAAGCTTTTTCTGGGGTGGGTGGATATCAGACAACATATCATAGAACGAGGATTGACGAGGACAGTGCTTGACCCGGTCATGGGAGACAACGACAAGCTATACATACCCGAGGACGAGGTACCAGAGTACAAGGGATTACTGCGTGAGGCAGATCTTATCCTACCCAACCAGTTCGAGGCTGAGTGCGTGCGCGTGGAAGGTTATAATAGGAATTGTGACTAACAACACCTACAGATTACTCTCCGAGACTCCAATCACCGACCTCAAGTCTCTCGCAGCTGCAATCCAAGTACTTCACACGAAATATCAAGTCCCCCACGTCATTATAACATCGCTCCGCTTGACCCGCGACAACCAAACAGTGTCCTCCAGACCAGTATCAAAAGCCGGTACAGGAACACACACCCCTTCAAACACCCAACCCCATGATGCAGCAACTTCACATTCCTCTACCTGGGAGCACCTCCCTAAGCCCCAGCAAAGCACCCCCCTCAACGACTCCGACGACATCGAAAACCTAACCATCATCGGTTCCACGGCAACCTCCGACCACAAACCCCGCCTCTTCCGCATCGACACCCCACAACTGCCCCTCTTCTTCTCAGGCACCGGCGACATGTTCGCCGCCCTCACCATCCCGCGCCTAATCGAAGCCGTGCACTCTGCCTCAACCCCCGAGTGCCCCCTCCACTCAATCCCCAGCTGGCGCTCACCCGACGACGTGGCAGCCACGGACCTCCCGCTCGCCCGCGCGTGCCAGAAGGTGCTTGCGTCTATGCAATCTATTCTGACAAAGACGACGGCGGCGTGCTTGAGTCGGATGCAGGAGTATGATGAGCAGGTTGGAGGGAGTGCGGGGGAGGTGCGGAGTAAGGAGGAGGAGGCGGAGGCGGACAAGAAGAGGCATCTTGCGCTTATGAATGCGAGTGAGGTTACGGTTGTGCGGTACGTGAGGGAGTTGGTGGAGCCGCCGGATGTGGAGAGGTTTGCGGCGGAGGCGGTGGTTGGGGTGTAGATGCATACGGAGGTGGAGCATAAGTGTTTATATATAATTGGGAAAATGAAGGGTTGAGCATGAGTATGTTTTTTTGTTTCATAATGCATGTATATGTGTCTGGAGAGTATGATTCGGCACTGATTCTCTGCATTTCCTGAGAGCGATATTATTGTGCTTCTCCTCTACTTGACGTGGTTACCCAGTGGAGACATAAGAATGCTCAGAATGTTTCCAGCATTTTGCCTTGTCGATTGACACGAGGAGTGTATCCAGTACTCTTCTGCTCGTGCGACTGTACTCTCCAATTGAGTACATCATGGCCATGCCTCCCACGTCGAGTCTCTTCCTGATTGTGTGCAATTGACCAGCAAAACATCCTCTACTCCTTTTTCTCCTCAGTCTCCTCCGCCGCCGTTGGCTCAGCAGCAGCAAGAGTAGCACCAAACCCGCCAGTACTTCCAAACCCACCGGCCCCCCTAACACTCTGTTCCAACTCCTCGACAACAACTACATTCGGCATAGCAATCTTCTCAACCACAAGCTGCGCAATGCGGTCCCCAATCTTAACCTCAAAATCCTCATCCGAAAGATTCGCCAGTATCACACCCACGGGGCCCCGATAGTCCGCATCGATAACGCCCGCCATTGTGTCAATGCCGTGTTTATACGCGAGTCCCGAGCGTGGCGCTACTCTGCCATCTGTTCATCGTAACTATCAGCAAAGCATTCTTCACACCGCCATCATCATCACCATCACCATCACCATCATAAGATCATAAGAAAGAAGGAAGAAGAAGATAGAAAAGAGAAAAGAGAAAAAAAAGACATACACGTCCCCACAGGCACCGAAACCTTGATATCCGTCCCTACCAACTTGCGCCCCCTTGCCGGAATCACCACATCCACCGCACTATAAAGATCGTGGCCCGCCGCAAACGCACTGCCCTTTGTCGGGGCTTTGGCATTCGCGCTCAGCAGCTGCACTTGCAACTGTTGTTCTGCGGCTGCGCCAGCGGCGATTGAGGGCGCAATGGGCGCGGGGGGTTGCAGGACTGACGACATGTTTGCGAGGGGTGTTGGGGTTGCAAGTCCGGAGTCTGTGCCGCGGGGTAGGGTGGAGGGTTGGGTTAGGGGCGAGGGGGAGATTACTTTTGTTCGTTTGGGGAGGGGAGAGGAGGGGAGGCTGGGGGGAGAGTGGGGGGGTAAGGGGGTGTCCGACATTGAGTTGGTATTGAGTGTTGTTGTTGTCGTGTTGTTGTTCGTTGGTGTTGTTGTTCGTTGGTGTTGTTGTTTCGATGGGCGGTGAGAAGGGGTGGGTTTGAACGCGTTTTTTTGGTGGGGTCAGGGGGAGGGAGACGTGGCGCGTCACCGTCTGTTGTTGGCTTGTTCATCCACTACCATCTTCTTCCTCTTCTTCTTGACCTTCGCCCATTGTGCAATTGTCTGTTTTCTCGTTGTTTCTTGCTGCATCAAAGTAATTTGACGAGTTCAAATTGCGATGACGTAGACATGGTTCGGTGCGCCCGAAGGGGAGAGAGGCCGAGCGACCAGGTTGCAGCGTTGTTTAGTGGCCGTGCCGTTGCCTTCAAACGGTTCTGTTGGCCCCTCGGAACGCCAGTCGATAGCGTGCTCTGATTCCAGCTCTGGGATGCCGATCCTACTGTGACTGGCATTGGTACCTCGGCTTGCGTTTCAGCTTCATGTGGGGACTGCAGTAGCAAGCAGTGCTAAGTAGTACTTACAGCTGACAGAATCAGCATCGCATCAGCAGTCGTCACGCGTTCAAGGGATACTTTGGTACCTTGGGTTTCCCATGCTGCGCGTGACCATTGCCACTGGAATGACATGTGACTCTGGCATGATCAAAGAGCCGCACAAGGCCTCCAAGGATCGTGGCGTGTGTCGATCAGATTAGGTTCCGTCTGGAGGACCGCTTCCCGGAATCCGATTCTGCGCAGTCACCAGCATGTTTTGAGGATGCTCAAGAGGCGAGGACGCCGACAGCGACACCTGCCACAGGTACCGGCAGTTGGGTGCCGGGACACATGCCGTGATGGGGAACAACAAGACTGATGGAGAGACGAAGCGAGTCAGCTGCTCCGGCTCCGGTCCTGGACTCGAGGACAGCAAAAGCCGACTCCGACGAGATGAGGCCAAGCCACGGGTAATAAGCTTAGTGGTCAGGCTTGAATGACAGCCAAGTTCCACATACAGTACGCATGCAATGGACGTTCGCAGGATACTGCCTACCGCCTACGACATGTTCCCTCTCATCACGACCACCTTCGCTCCTCTAAAGGTCAATCTCACGATCCCCGCCAAATCTGTCACTCCATACCTGCCCCCTCCGCACTCGGGTTCCGCACTCTCCACGTCGCACTACGGTCGCTTTCGTCTTCTCCAGACCGAGATTAGCTTGCACAGTCGGACAGGCATCAGGCCCTCAAGCGGCGCCTGACCAGCCGTCTGCGTCTGCTGTTCCAGGCGCACGGTGTCGAGTGGATCCTGAATTTGAGCCGCAGCGGCGTGGCCGGCCCATGGCAGGATAGAAAATTTTGCCTCGAGACCTGTTAGTGTGACAAAATCTTCCCGATAGTTTGGCCAAGCGCTACATGTCCGGTCGCACGCCACGACCGCCGACCGTCGTGGTTGGCTGACACTTGGCTCTCGCAGCCCCAAGCGCGCCATGCAGAGCTTGTTGAGCCTCACGGGGTCTGGAGAGAACTAATGTACCCCACCTGCTCCGTCGTTCTCACACGCCCTTGGGATGGCCAGAAGCAAAAAATTGTCACACCCTCTCTCTCCCCGCCCCCCTCCAGCACCCGCTTCGTCGTGCCACAGACTCCCAACTGGCAACTGCGCTCCCCTCAATACCAGTCACCAAACCCAGTCGTATTCCAGAAGACTCTTGCCACAAGGTTCCATGCATGCATCTTGACCCCGACCCCGACGCGCCAGCCATTCCACGGCAACATTGCCTAGACGGGTCAGGAATTGGGCGATTATTATCCCTACTTGTATAGTTCCATGACACTCTTGCCCGTGATTGGCGAGTAATGCACATCATGACTGCTTGCGGCACCTCCTTCGCTACCAGCAGCAACACGATTGATCAAACAGAAACGTACGCGCTGCTTGCTCGTATGCATGCCCGCGTGTGAATGAGGTCAACGGCTAAGGACATCTATGCACTCAACCTGTCGGATCATACACATCTACCTAGGATTTTGCGCTACTGTTGTGGTGCCCTACCATTGTCCGCCATCGGCGCCACCTTTTCGCTTAATACCCAACTGCCATGCCACTGACATTGCCCGCGTCAACAGCCAGCCCGCGTCTGTCACGTTATGTATGTCTGTAGGTTTTCGTACCGTGATGCTCGGGCTACACCGCGCATACTATCGTGTCCCAGCAAACTCGCCAGCGTGGAGACCGCTAAACATAGATGCGCCTAGCAGGACCTCGACTATTCTGCTGGCACGCCGAGGCAATTCTAGTTCCACCACCACGCGGAGGCGACCTCAATCGCAGGCCCGCAACGTACGAGCGGGATTCGTCTGGTCTGGTCTAGCTCACGTACTAAGCAATACGCTAGCAGTCCCCAGCTTCATCGGACCTATTCCCAATACCACGCTAGCCCCTCAAACGTCTAGCGCATTGTCCCCATGCTTCTGGTCTCCGGGACTGGAGAGCTGCCCATGGAGATCCCATGCCCATGGGAGTGAGTTCCTCCATCTGTACTTAAGTTGGGTTGATCCGCCCCCAAGCAAAGATCATCTCATCCGAGTACACACCTTTTACTCTGGGCTCGAGTCTTCTCTCAACACCACTCTGCCCTTTCTCACAATCAACCTCCAGTCATGGGTCTGACTTTGAAGAAACCCGAGGGCGTGGCCGGGTCCACTGCGCCCGCCATCATTGTTGGCTTGTTCGTCGCTTTTGGTGGTATCCTCTTCGGGTATGCAGACTTCCCAACTTCTCTATTTATCAAGATCAATCACTAACAAAGTTACAGATATGATACTGGTACCATTGGTGGTATTCTGGGAATGAAGCACTGGCGTGAGGTTTTCAGCACTGGATACATCAACCCCAAGGACGGCCATCCTGATGTCACCGCCGACCAGACCTCGCTCATTGTCTCTATCCTCTCTGCCGGTACCTTCTTCGGTGCCCTGACTGCCGCCCCTACTGCCGATTTCCTCGGTCGCCGCCTTGGTCTCGTTGCCAGCAACATTGTCTTCTGTCTTGGTGTTGTCCTCCAGACCATTGCTACTGATATCCCCTTGTTTGTTGCTGGTCGTTTCTTCGCTGGTTACGGAGTCGGTATGATCTCTGCTACCATTCCTCTCTACCAATCCGAGACTGCCCCCAAGTGGATCCGTGGTACCATTGTCGGTTGCTACCAGCTTGCCATTACCATTGGTCTTTTGCTTGCTGCCATCGTCGACAATGCCACCAAGGACAGGGATGACACTGGCTCTTACCGCATTCCTATCGCTGTCCAGTTCGCCTGGGCTATTGTCCTCTTCGTCGGTTGCATCTGGCTTCCCGAGACTCCTCGTTGGTTCATCAAGAAGGGTCGCCCAGAAAATGCTGCCAAGTCTCTTTCTACTCTTCGCCGTCTTAACGTTGACGACCCCGCCCTTGTTGAGGAGTTGGCTGAGATCACTGCCAACCACGAGTACGAGCTGTCTCTTGGAAAGGCCACTTACGCCGACTGCTTCCGCGGTAACCTTGGAAAGCGTCTTGCAACTGGTTGCCTGCTTCAGTCTCTTCAGCAACTCACTGGTGTCAACTTCATCTTCTACTACGGAACTTCCTTCTTCCAGAACTCTGGTATCAGGAACCCCTTTGTTGTCACTATGATTACCTCTTGCGTCAACGTCGCCTCCACCTTTCCCGGTCTCTACCTTGTCGAGAAGTGGGGTCGCCGCAACCTTCTCCTCTTCGGTGCCGTCGGTATGGCTGTCTGCCAGTTCATCGTCGCTATTACCGGTACTGTCGCTGGTGTTGAGAACATGGCTGCCCAGAAGGCTTTGATCGCATTCGTCTGCATCTACATCTTCTTCTTCGCCTGCTCCTGGGGCCCAGTCGCCTGGGTCGTTACCGGTGAGATCTTCCCTCTCAAGGTCCGTGCCAAGTCTCTCTCCATGACCACCGCCAGCAACTGGCTCCTCAACTTCGCCATTGGATACGCCACCCCCTACATGGTCAACGATGGCCCCGGAAACGCCAACATGGGCGCAAAGGTCTTCTTCGTCTGGGGCGGATGCTGCTTCATCTGCATCTTCTTCGTCTGGGGCATGATCTATGAGACCAAGGGTCTCTCCCTCGAGCAAGTCGACGAGCTCTACGGCAAGTGCTCCCAGGCCTGGAAGTCCCCTGGCTTCGTCCCCAGCGTCTCCTTCCAGGACGTTCAGGATATGCAGGCCGATAACCGCCGCGCCAGCCTTACTGACATCGAGGCTGATGCTTCCCGCAAGAGGAGCGCTACTCACGCTGAGTACCCCGAGAAGACTGTCGTTTAAAGCTTTCAAATCTGCAGAGATGCGGATGTGGATTGGGAATAGACATCTATATGTTTTTTGATCATTTCACACGAAAGCTTGTACAAACGCATACAATGTCTTATGGAGCAAATGGGCAACATATAGTTGCATCGTTGTTATTGTTTTTTTCGTTTTATCTACATATATACCTCCAACATCACGAGTTATGAAGTTTTAATGAATTAATTCACTTATTCACCATCATCTGCTACTTTCCTTGTGGAAAATCAATGTGATGTTTACTAAACCACCGCTCCTCCTTTCTGCTTCCTTTTCCCGCTCTCCTCAGACATTGTTCCACCGTGCTAATCCCCATCTCGCTCTACTTTCCCTGCTCCAATCCTACCTCGCCCACCCATCTTTCCCGCCCCTTCATCCCTATCTACCACATCCCCACCCCTTCCCCACAAAAAATACCACCCTAAAAACCCCTCCAGCCCTGACCCTTGCTCCCAACACAACCTATGCATACGCATACGGACACCCATGTGCGATCCCAACATTACCGCGGCCCATGTTAAATGCCTCACTCCCCTCAAGCGCACACACTGTCTCCTCTGGGTTTAGTCCCTTCCGCGCCCTAAAAGAGAGGGACGGGAAGACTTAGGTGTACTCTAGCTTGTCTTGTCCTTGTGTGTTAGAGGACACTGGTGTGCAAGGGTTAGGTTAGTTGCGATCCCCGCATTAGTTGGCGTGGCGGCTTTTAGTGGAGTAGGGCGGGGTGTGGTTTGTGATGTCGTGGATCGAAGGGGGATGGGAACGTATGGTCTTGGGGGTATGAGGGAGAGGTAGAGTAGGATGGGGGGGAGATGAGCTGGGGAAGATGAGGCTGAAAGGGAGGGGATGGAGGATGCATGCGTGGTTGGGTTATCTGGTGGGATGAGGGATGAGGGGTCTTGGTAAGGGAGATAGGGAGGATGGGCTTGGCGCTGGGTTGAGGCGTGTGTAGACTAGAAGGGGGGATGTGGGTTTGGGGTGGAGATGGCGCGGCGAATGGGGTAGGGGTTGTGGGTTTTCTGGTATTGGGGATATGGGTAGGGCGGTTGGTTAGTGTGCTGTTTTTTGTGGGTTGGGGATAGAGGGGTACTCTGGGTGTTGGGCTGCGTGGTATGACGTGGGACTTTTTTCCATATCCCTCCCCTTTTTTGGTGTTTTCTCATGTTGGATGTTGTAGGAACACAATAGTTGGAGTGGTGAATATCTTTGAGGAAATTATATTGATGACAAGAAAGAGCGGGTTTTGAGTTGCCTACTCGATCCCGAGATGTACTATCTTAGCGCACACTACGAAAACTTGCAATGTTCTGAAGAAAGTTGGATAGCGCTAGTTTAGATAGTCATTCTAGTTGGTCGATGGAAAGATGTCACGGGTTACTGTGCCTCCTTGGCATTTTATTATGGAATAGAAGAGTGTAACTGTGGAGTTGGTACCGTATAGTCAGATAAGGAATCCATGTCTCGCAATTTGGTAACTTGGCTTCTTCTTCTGCTCCCGTTCTCCAGGCGAAGTACTTATGCCCCGATGAAATATAAGATCAAATTTCTCAAGGGTAAAGCAAGCGTGGATCAATAAAGCGATGATATTTGTGAAAGTATCTACTTGAAATAATGTTGGTTCTAGATTCGGGCATCGAAAGCTACGCAAAGAGCGTAGTGAAGGTGTCTGCTGAGTTCCGTCGGGCAGGCTACAGGCTACTCCAGAGCTGGAGATGATACTAAAAAACAAGCTAGCCAAGAAGACAGAAAGAAGATACAGCAAATAGTAAACGCTTTGGCGGTCACATGCCTCACGGTGAGTAAGAGGGGAGAGAAATGGATTTCATTGAAGGTAACCATGTGTAGATACGACTAAGGTGTTAGTTTAGCGCTTTGCAATTCACGCTAGCATTCGGTATTGTATATCGCGGTGTCGAGTTACTTCAGGTTCGGACGGGATTATATACTCCATACCCATGACTGTGGCTTCATTGACCCGAAGTTTGGCCTTCTTGGGCCTTCAGTTCAGAGTATCGTAACAATTTTGTCACTGAGTAATTGAATGATTATAGTATCACGTGACTTTGCGAGGTAGTGAGGACAACTCTACCTAAGATGGCATTGACCATAGACGTAACACTTCTTCACTTTATTCTCAAGTCATGTATACTCTTAAGCACGATGTTCGTCGTCCCTGACAGTATATTTCCGGAGGGTGATGACTTTATTCATGGTGGCCAAGACGATCAAATCATTCTTCCATCTCTTGATCCGACATCAAATTTCACAAGATTCTTTCCTCCAAATGCAACCGATACTCCGGAAGATCTATTTATACCTGTTCTGTCAAGCGCCTCGATCCAAGCCCCACGCTTCACTCGTTAGTCTGATCGATCTGAGTTTCTCATCTACACGGATGGGGCATGTAGTGAGAATGGAGGCAAAGATGCTAGAGGAGGTTTTGCCTTTGTTTATCATCCCGAAACATATCCATCTACAATTCCGTCAAGAACCTCTACTGGGCATTCTACCTGTTCTATGAACCTTCATACACTTGGCGCTTCTAAATTTCGACTTGAGTCTCGCGGCCCAACGGGAGAAGCTGTACCTCAGACCAGTAACCGTGCCGAGCTCCGTGCTATTACCGCTGCGCTAGGGTACCGGCTGTGGAACAACGAGGGATGCCGACGCCTTGTGATTGCAACAGACTCGTCTTACACAGTTGACGGATCTACAGAATGGATTAAGAAATGAATTCGAAATGGGTGGCAGATATCAACACACAAGCCAGTGAAGATTCAGGATCTCTGGAAAGAGATCATCAAGGAACTCGAGAGATGGAGTAAAGCAGGGGTATTAGTACAGTTCTGGTTTATTCCGAGAAGGCTAAACATAGTTGCAGATCGGTTAGCGAAGGAAGCTGCCGCTCTTCCTGACAAAGAAAATTGGGGAGAAATCAAGGGTGTATTGTGCTAATCTCGTATGAGAGTTGAAATCAATGTTGATTGTGATAGTAGATTCGAACGATATATTAAACGAGTTTGGTTCTCACGTCCCTACCCTATCCTATTCTTAATTCCACTAAGGCTCTTACCTAATTAATGAAACTGGAAAATGAAAATAAGTAGTAGTTACAATTCACGCAAACTAACTCGAGATCTATTAAGACAAGCACTCCAAGCTGACAACAAATAAATCGGCATCGTCACAAATCATCATCTGGTATCGGCCTCGCCACTGCAGACCTACTTTACATACTAAAACTAATAATTAATAAGGTGAAAACTCAAAACTCCACCCGGACAACAAGATGAGCTAGTCTTCCCTGTAATACAAAGAACCATTCCATATCAGATACACCGCACAATACCAGAACAGCTGTAACTATTGAGCTAATTGAGCATATATCCAACATTCGCCTAATCCTACTTGTTGTACTCTTCGTCGTGCGAGCGCTGCCAATAGCCAGTGCCTCACTCAATCATGCTCTGCATACAGAATACATAGGTGACGTTGGAACAGTAGTTCTCTGATGCCGGGCTCTACAAATGCCAAGATATATAGGTACCTGGGGCGTCCCGGGCGTTCCCAACTTATCTGGGCTTGGTACCTGGGGAGGGTATATTCTTGCTCCTTATAGAAGATTTTGATCTTGTAAATACTAGAGAGACGTAGTAGCTACGTGTCTCATGCGATACAAAACAAACCAGCTTTGTCAATCTTTCTTCAGGCTGGTAAGTAGGTGAAGGTCTGGTAGAGGTGACGTTCAACATAGGGGTACACGTACTCGGACCCTTGGTCTGTGCGACACTACCCGTACCCTAACACTTACCATACCTCTGGGTGTGTGGTGTGTATCTGCTAACCTGATGAGGTGCTTGTGTGTCAGCGGGATACTTGCGCTCATCCGCTCGGTAGGGTATATAGCGGGCTTCCGGTCAGCGGGCTTCCAACTTAGTACTGTATGTAGCGATGAGGAATACATACCAATCATTACATAAAAGGCAGCTTTGATAGGTATGACATCGTTTTGTAATTGATAACGATAACGGGGTGATATACCGGCTCAACAGTTTCACTGTTCATGTTCGCTGTGATACTTGAAAACTTCTGATCATGCAAAAAGACACAGATATTGACCCAATTTGGAAGACTAGAGAGATACTCGTACTGGTCAATCTCGTATCATCTTGTGTACTCATGGAGAAGCTCGAATCGAGAATCGTATATCCTACACTGTCATACCATTTCAGCGCCCATTCAAGCTCTAACATCCCTCCGTAATCCCCGCCTTAATTCCCTCCAACTTCGCCATCAACTCCCTCCACACCCTCTCCTGATCCCTCTTTCCCTCCTCACTCCTAACATACGTACTCGGCTCCGTAATCTCGCAATTACTCAAATACTCCCCATGCGTCTCCTCGCCCTGCAAGCCTGCATGCACCAGCGTCCTCGACCCAACTTCCGTAGTGCGAGCAAGGAAGAAACGCAGTATAGCCGCGACGAAGGGGGCTTCGCGACCGAATTCCCTATAATTCATAATTAGACACCGCCATTTCCATAAAAAGATGAAAAGGGAAAGGGACAATAGAACTCACGAATGACACAACCCCGGATTGACAGTATTCACCGTAACCGGACACTCCCCACTCTTATTCCTCCCACAAAATTCCCTCACAACTAGCACCTCCATCAACTTACTAACACAATATCTCTCATTCAAATCCACCTTCTTTCCCTGCACAAACTACTCCCTCAACCGCTCAAACAACTCCCCCTCAGGTGCTTTCCTTTCCGAAAACCCCGTCCACTGATGCACTTCCGAACTCACAACCGTAAGCGTTGGGCGCACATTGAACTTGTTCGCAGTATCCTGGAGTTTGGGGAGAAGAGAGAAAAAGAGGAGGAAAGTGGAGACGACGTTAACGGTAATGGTGGACTCGTCTTGCTCGAAGAGTTCCCAGACGCCGCGGTTTACGCCGGCGTTGAGGATGGCGATGTCGAGGCGGTCCACCTCTTTGCTAATTGTAGAAGTAAAATCGAGCACGGATTGGTACGAGGACATGTCGAGGTGAAGCACTTTTATTACATTTTGGCGGCCCGTGGTGGTCTCGATGTCTTTTGCGGCTGCCTCGCCTTTTTCAAGGGAGCGCACGGCGAGGATGACTGTTGAGGCGTTGAGGGAGACGTAGTGCCGGGCTGCTTCTTTGCCTAGACCGGTGTTCGAGCCAGTTACGAGGACGGTTTTGCCGGTTAGGTCGGCCTTGGGGGGTGGGGGTGTGATGAAGAGTTGGGAGTAGAAGAAGCGGGCGAAGCTTGCCATTGTGGGTGATGTTGGGGGGGTTTAGTTGGTGAATTGAATTGTAGTAGATTGAAACCGTGGAATTGGTGCAGGAAGTGGGGTTTTAGATGTTTCCTTGATACTATTTCGCATTTTTCGCATTGTTATCACCGTTAACACCTGCGTGGGCCAAGCACATGGTCTCCTCGGGCAGCCGGGTTTAAGGGCCGTTCGTATCGCGAGATGCTAAGGCAAGACACGAATGGCTTGTCAAAGCGTCATGTCGCCAACATTAATTGAGGATGCCTATACTTTGTTGAGGCCCTTAGTCCGAGTTGAGAAGCAGCGGCGGACGAACATCACTCTGCTAGACTGATTGGTGGTGACGTTCCTGATATCGGCTTCAGGCTGTCATAGACGGAGTTAACTCCGGTTACCTCCGTTGATATTGTACCGACATGCTCCACATGCACATGTACTTGAAATGCCACGGACGGTTTCTATGGCATTGGTTGGACCGTAAGTATTCGGGAGCACGCAGATGAAGTCGCGAGGTAGTTGGTGAATTTACATGTTGTGATGAGATTGCTGACGTATCAGCACTCTAATTCCGACGTCAACCTACGTATACACCATGATGAACGTCAAGTTCAAGCGCATCACAACCTTATCGTATCTATACTTCAATCAAAAAGAGAACAATGCGGTATCATATTTCAGGCATGCCGTGGAAAACGCAACCCGCCTACGTAGGCGACATATTCAAAAACACAAGCAAATTGCCAGTACTGCAACGCTCCCCTCATGCATACTGGCTTCCCCTACAATCAAATTAGTATACAAATGCTGATCCTGTTCTTCATTTTTGATACACCCCGACCCAACAAGAACAGCATGCCATATGGACAAAACCCACCGAACACAGAACATAAAGCGATAGAAACAGTCTACCAGGCATCCACGTCGAAACCCTCTTCCGAGAACTCGGTTGCCACGACTGTTCTTCGCGAGAATTGACGACCAGCGAGTGCCTTGATGGCCTTTTGGGCTGACTCTATATCCTGGTACTTGATGTAGATCTTGCCAACGCCGAGATTGACACGAGCTCCGGCAGGACGAGGAATCTTGGTCTCGAGGATCGTTCCGTACTTGCCGCACTCCTCTTCGATGTCTTCCTTGATTTCTGGACTGATGTTAGTGTCATGTCAAACTCATTGCTATCTGCTGGTGCTCACCTTCGTATTCCTCATCATTGAGGAGCTCATCCGAAGTCACCATGTTCATGAGGCAAACAACGCGGCTGTGTTCGCGGTTCTCTACGGCACTCGCTCCTGCCAACATGGAGATGGCACCAACTCCACCATCTAGACCAGTAGTCTGCTGAAGACCGACAGTCGCACGCGACACCTTGAGATTACCATCGCCGAGTGGAATGTCGTTCAGACCTTCAATGACAGCATCGATGATTTCGTTGTCAGCGTACTCGCAGAAAGCAATACCCTGTAGCACGTTAGCAAGCTGAAAAAGTCAGTTTAAATATATAACTTACGCGGTGTTGGTCAGTGCTCGTGTCCTTGACCAGGATGAAAGCCTTGAGTTTACCCATAGTCTCGACAAGCTCACGAATTTGCTCCTCCTCAATATATGTAGGAATGTTGACAATGCTGAGCTTGTTGGGACTATCCTTAACAACAGAGGACACTTCATCGCCAGGTGGGTATGCGTTCTCGTCGGCAGTAGGGGTGATGTAATCCTTGGGTCGGCGAATGGAGAGGCCTGCCCGATCGGGAGCGCCACCATCGTCGCGCATAGAGATGCCGTTCATAGCCAGAGCGAGGGTTGCGTCTTCGGGTGCCTTAAACTCCAGCGCAGCGTACTCCTTGCTCGTCGCGATGTGGGCAGACACACAGGGATCGGGTCCAGAGACAACATTAAGACCATTGAGCTGGGTGTTGAAGAATTCCATAATCTCCTGCGACGTGCAGCCTGAAGGTAGGTTGTGAACATAGAGACGCTTCGACTGCTTGGCGGCCGATGTGGCGAGAGCAGCAGCTGTGGCAGTTCCAGTCGAGGGCGAGATGAAGGCCGCCAGCTTGGACGGGTCCATGGGCGCAGCGCGGGGAGCTCCAGGCAGAGGGAACATGCCCGATAGCTTGGCCTGCTCAGCCGTGATGTTCTCGTAGCCGGCGGGCTTGATGTCCCATTGTGTCATGCGACGCTGGCGCTCCAGAATGTTGGTGAAGCTGGCGAGGTCCGGAGTAGCTTCTCGCGGCTTGGTGTATGGAGGAGAGTCTTCCTTGGGCTGGCGCGCCCTATCACGCCCACCGCCAAAGCCTCCGTCGCGTCCACCTCGGCCACCCCTTCGCTCATCACCAAACCTGTCGCCGCCCCTCTCGTTACGGTCTCTGTCCCGGCGATGTCCACGGTCGTCGTCTCCACGGTCGCGGTCTCCTCCGCGGTCTCCTCGGGGTCGGTCGCGCCTAGAGTAAGAGTCTCCCCATCCGCCCCGTTCTCCGCCACGCTCACCCCGGTCATCCCGCCTCTCGCGACGGGCATATGTATCTTCGCGCTCGCGCTCACGGTAGTCGCGGCTGGACGAGTACGTGTCTACTTCATAGTCACGGCGGGAGCCTCCGCCATGGCGCGGGGAGCGAGAACGGCGCCGGCGCCTATCACCACGATCACCACGATCACCGCGATCACGGTGGTCATCTCTCGAAGACTGTGCTGTTAGTATTTGTGTGCCAGTGGCGCGCCGGGGATGTGGACTCACGTAGTTGCGGGATCCAGCTGATCGACCGCCGTCTGCTTATGTTAGTATTTTACATCTTTGGAACTGTACACCAGTCAGTACGTGTACTGGTCTAGCCGGCTTACCTCGGGAGTAACTATCGCCGTTCATGGTGGTAGTGTTGATGGGAGCTATCGCGGTGGTAACGTACAGCCGCGTGAGATTCTGCAGGCGAACACAAGGACACGGCGGCAGAAGTTGCAATTAGCAGAGCTGAATCAGGCGATGGTGAATGGATCAAGCCCGCAATGGTCCGGACTGTGGGACGCGATGCTTTCTGCGATGGTTGCGTCTGCGGTCGCGGAAAAGGTGCGAGAGAGAAAGTCGGGGCTGTCCTAGCGCGCCCTTGGCACCACCCGCCCCTGTCGCCGGGACTGCTCCCAGACCCCCGTCACTAATTAAGGGACATGCTACTGGATGTATACAGAGAGGAACATTCACTCTCCTAACTACATCACATCCACACAACAGATCCACCATGGCATTGCGCGCCGCAGAATGGCACAAGCTGCCTACAAGTCTCACCGAGCTATGTATTGACACTACCTTGCGCTGCGGACAGTCTTTCCGGTACGATGCTCTACATGGTCGCATCTTGGTCGCCATCACTGCTAATATACCCCCTCAGGTGGCGCAAGTCTGCTGAAGGCGAATGGTCAGCAGCCCTCCATGGTCGCATCCTCTCTCTCCGCCAGGATCCCCAATATCTACATTACCGAGTCACATACCCATCCATTACCACCACACTACCCACGCCACCTCTGTCCAATGCGCCTTCCGTCGCCCCCGAAGAAGACGACACGCTTGCCCTTGTCAACCATTACTTCAACCTCTCGCCAAACCTCGGCCACCTATATGACCAATGGGCAGCCTCAGATGCCAACTTCAGAAAGCGAGCGCCCAAATTCACAGGAATACGCATACTGCGACAAGATGCCTGGGAGGCCCTCATTGGCTTCATATGCAGTAGCAACAACAACATCAGCCGCATATCCGGCATGGTACACAACCTCTGCCTGCACTATGGACCCCTGATCGGACATATCGACGAGGTTCCCTATCATGACTTTCCCACGCCCGTCGCCCTCTCTGGTCCAGACGTTGAGGCCCATCTCATGAAGCTTGGCTTTGGATACAGGGCAAAGTACATCGCCAAGACTGCGCGCATCGTATCAGAGGACAAGGGTTTAAAGTGGCTCGAAGATCTAAGCAACCCCGAATATCCTCAATTTGGCGTTGAAGAGAAGCCAGCTGGCGATATGCTTGAAGGTGGTCGAGAGGGGTACAGAAAGGCACACGAAGAGCTGCTCGCACTTCATGGTGTAGGCCCCAAAGTTGCAGATTGTGTGTGTCTCTTTGGTCTCGGGTGGTCTGAGTCTGTACCTGTCGATACCCATGTCTGGCAGATTGCGCAGCGTGACTATCGCTTCGGCAAAGGCAAGCACAGCAGCTTGACAGCAGCAACATATGTTGCCATAGGCAATTTGTTTCGTAAACTATGGGGGAAGGAAGCAGGCTGGGCGCATTCTGTATTATTTACGGCGGATCTCAAGGCATTTTCGGAACGAGTGATTGCCAAAGTAGAGGTGAAAGAAGAGGAGGTTGTGATTAAAAAGGAGGATGAAGAGACTGTGATGGAAACTGCAGTGAAGGAGGTAACAAAACGGAAGCGCATCAAGAAGGAGCCGCTACTAGACGAGGGGCCAATTGTGCAAGTGAAGCAGGAGCCTACGCGAAGGAGTAAGCGACAACGCGTCTAGGCAATATATTCTATTAGACACTCCACTCATCACCTCTTCTCTGCGAACATTCAACTCACAGCCCCTTGTGCCAAGTACAATCGGCTTAAATATAGAAACATCCCCATACTTAGACAGTGGTATTATAAGTCACTCCTCGTTAGGCCACACCCGCTTGACGATCAATTAACCTTTCCACAGTAACACGGCTGCGCAAAGACGGCGCGGCACTCTTCAAAACTGGGATGATGATCTCGGCGAAAGATTGCACATTCAGGTACTCCTGAAGTTCGGATGCAAATGTCCTAGAGGTGTGGGGGCCAAGTGTTACTACACACGGCTAGCGTCATTTCACTTGCATGGCCATCACAGCCTCGGATTCGTCTCACTCATTAGCGAATATGATCCTCTGGACGCCACAGTTTACTACTGTCCAATTCGCCCGGCGCAAAGCCCATATCCGGCATCTTTTGTCGAAAGTATCCAACAACTGCGGCAAAGCCATGTGGCAT